TAAAAACTGCTAAATAGTCCAAAACTAAATGTACTGTACCTACTTTTAAACAATATCAAATCCTACTTTAAAGAAAAAGTGTATGGAGTGAATAACACCTGTTTTCTGACAAGAACACACAGCAGAGGCGCCTGGCAACTTACCAAGCTGCGGTCTCTGTTCCACTATCTATTAGGGCTGCTCAATTAATTGTATTTTAATCGCAATTACGATTTTGGCTTGCAACGATTATGAAAACAACATAATCGAAATAAAACGATTATTTTCTTTTCTTTTTTTTTTTATTGGTTTTTCAGTTGAATTATACTTAAAGTTCAGGGTAATCAACTGTTAAAAACATACTGTTCAACATTTTTTGTTTTCAAAGTAAATGGATAATCGTTTTTAATAATTGTGATATCAATTATTGACCCAAATAATCGAGATTATGATTTTTGCCATAATCGAGCAGCCCTACTATCTATTTACAATACTTTTCTCATAAAACACCAAAATATGAACCCGAGGCTTTCATTTTGAGCGGCAGACTTATTTTGTTAGCAGTCAACAACAACAACAAACACCAGTAAAATGTGCCATCTGTAAAAGGTTCATGAGCTGTAGGTGTGAATGATGAAAACTATACCGTTTTATAAACAGCAAGTTTCTCACACTTTGTATCCAATATCTCAAGTCAGGCTGGGTAGGAGCAAACTTAGCTTTCTATTTAGGAACTTTGTGTCTAATGTATTGTGTTCAGTTGTTTTTTTTCTTCTTCCAACTCATTTTAAGCCATTGGAAACAATTAAAAGAACAATTAAGCAGCGGTAAATGTAGTCAGGGAAAGACTTCTATAAAGCTATTTACAAATGACAATACAAGCTTACATTGTGTAACCTTGCATCACTCTATTATTCAACAGCTGATTCTGTGGCTGATTGTTCATTTCTTTTTCAAATCTCCATCCAAAGCAGCTCTACAGATCTCGTAAGACAACGAGTTAAGAAGATGCTAAACACCTGGGGGATAATGGCACAAACTGTTATGGTGATAGACAAACACCTGTTAATGGCCTCTCTGCTGCCTTCATCGCAAACAACTTGGCCTTTATAGCTATTGACAGTGTCAATAACACATTATTGACTAAATTATATATTTCTTGCGCTCGACTCAAGAAAGAAATGTCATACGACTTAGAAATATATTCTGGTTATAGCATACATCATTCGATGTAAATCACTTTGGCATAAAAGAGTCTAAATTAAAAGAACGTTTTATAGGCCCTGTACTTGTGTTGTGAAAAAGAACACTACAACCCAAACTTCAGTTATCTGATAGCCTGTAGTGAAATAAGAGAAAAAGGTAATAAAAGCCATTTGTGATTGCTTACTCTGGTGGTTATAACACTTAAGTGTCGACATCATGCCTACAAAGTGTTGGATAAAAGACGCTAAGAGGCTGAAGTCGTTCACAAGTCTAACCCGAGTGTGTTACAAAAGGGGAGAATCAGAAGTCGAGTGATCTCAGCCTTTACTTCAGCCACACAGAGGACCTTGTTGAGAGCGCTTGAGCCAGTGTTGTGCTCATTGTTTCCTCAGATGCTTCACGTTGTGATTTCCTTTTATATGAGCAGCGCTGTTGGTTCACCCGGACCTCAGCAACACTTGGAGAACACATGGAGTAATGACACTATATTTAATTCAAGCTAAAAAACAACGAGTACAGCGCTTCCTTTAAAAACATTACCTTTGGCAACACACTCACGCACCTACAAAAGACAAACACACCTGACTGTTATCACTGACAACACTTGCACTGTTATTCCCATGCAGATCAACAACAGGTCTGAGTTTGTTTACAGCAGTTGAAGAGAATAACAGAGAACAAACAATACCCCCTTAGGATATAGCTTGTTCTATTCAGTTGATCAGGGGTCGAAGTTATTTGTCCTACAAACAGAGGGTCAGTGCACATGATAATAAGGCATACTGAATCCACTTGCTCCAGCAGCACTGACTAGAAACTGACCTGGCACCTCTCTGTAAAGGGAACAAGGGAAAAAAGGTTACATCTCTTCCAGGAATCAATGGGAATTCCCCCAGTCAAACCCTCCTGTCTACAATCAAATTAGTGAGAGTTTAAATTAGTTTGGACCATGCACTTCAGGCTTTTTTAAGGTAATTGGGGTATGCGTATGCAACAACGAATACAGAATGAGTTGTGAGACTGCGCTTGAGAGTGACTTTGAACAGTAAACAGTCAGAGGAATAGCAGTTTGCGCCTCCGTCGAGAGCAGCAGTGAGAGATCAGGTGGTTTGCTGCGCTGCTGTAATTAACAACCTCAGCCAAATCCAGCCAGGCATGACCGGCAAATTAACATGCAGCAGCTTTCACACTCTATCCCACCGATCTGCTCAGTGAGCAGAAAACCAATACAGGCCAGCTCCGAAAATAGCCCAGACCACAGATTGCCCTTTAAACTCCAATACCACTGACACTATGACTAGTCTCCACGAGCTGGTTGAACACATTTCTGTTCCAAGTACTACAAAACGGCAGAGAAAACAACTTCCAAAATATTTGACAACAAATGTGTGTAGCCTAACGGATGCTGAATTTGGACCGTCAACTGCCAAAAACTCAAGTTATGAACTAATATGTGTGCACAATTGCGGAGCCCCTATACATTTACGCTGGCAGCAATGCCATTTAAAGCAATTGTTCTGCCTGTAGCAGGAGAAGAAGGCTTGGTTTATTGTTACTGAAACACACTATAGCTGTTACCATTTTGTAATAATAATATGAGGGATGTCAGCCTGACTGACAGCTTTACTTTTCCTCTGGATTAAATCCTTCTCCTACATATATGGGAATAGTAGGGTTTCCAAAAATACCAAACACTGCCAGCAACTAATTGGAGTCAGCTATATTTCCACAAGTCCCTGTCGTGTCTTCCACAGCAGTCTCATCTCTCATCACTGTTTCCTGTTCACACAGGAAGCAGCAGCACCAGAAGGAAGTCCTTCCTTAGCTGAAAGCACGTGAAATCAGGGAGGCAGGGTGACATTAACACGTTGGCCCTTCTATCAGCTACTGGACAAACAGACCCGCCTTATCTTTAACTGCACATGAGGGAAAGAAAAACACAGAGGCGATGTTGCGCTCGGTGTTGACCTCTACTTTGGTTGTACTAGTCTTGACATTGAAGGTGTGATGATAGTAAAGAGATCTCTCTATGTCAACTTCAAAAAGTTGTATACTGGCTGTCACAGCTCTGCCACTGTGCAGGAAAATCAATAAACAGCAAATATAACACTATGACTGATGCATGCTGGTCGAGTGCAAGCATGCACCAGTCTAGACTAATAGTTGAACCCCTAAACATCTAAAAAGGTACCTTATTGCAAGAGTGATTTTTAGTTTCCGCAGACTTCCTTTGCAAACCCAACTTCACTTTCACACTTTGGAGATTAATTAAAAGGTAGTCTTACCAAAATCAATCAGTGAGAAATATCCGGCGGAACCTCTAACCACAAACATAGGTTCCTACCTTTATACCCACAGTGTTAATTGGCTCCTACAAAGGGTAAGGAATCAAGTTATACCAATTCATTTTTAAACCATGCTATTCTTGAATATTTTAGTAAACATCAAAACATATTATAAAAAAAGTAAGCTTTAATAGTTACAGAGTATTATTTCTCCATTATAGTGTAAGTACAAATATATAATAGGTTTATAAGTCTACATATGCACTAGACGTCCAACCTTACGAGATAGAAACTCTACGGTACAATACCTGACCTACAATGGATAGAAAGCACTTCATACATACAGTGGGTTGCGCTTATACAGAATCCATATCTCACAATTTCCTCAAGTCAACTTTTTCTCCTCTCCACACTTTCCCAAAGTACCCTGACCCAGTTGTATCTGTGGTACAATGAGAATAGCAGAAGTGTGTACATACAAATGCTACAGTCTCCAGTACAATAAAGGTGCTGTTTGTAACAGTCTTCAATAGTATGCAATGAAACATAAACATATTCATTTCCAAAAGACAACAAATGTTATGCTTTAGAGTTCTATATACCTCTCTGATTTGTTAATGCTGTTTTTTAGTCATGTTGACTTATTTCAGCAAAACATAATAGACATAAACGACTTCAGCATGTCTCCTGCCTTCTACTTGCATGTTTTGCAGTGGAAAGTGGATTTGGCAATGAGACTCATAGTGGTATAGTAATATTCTACATGGACTCTTTAGAGCATCATGATCATTGATCAATGAATCAGCACAAGTCAGCACTAGAGAGCTTCCATTATAATAGTGAAGGATGACAGGGTTGGAACAATAGCCACACAACAGTCTGTTTTATGACTGTCATAACCTACTGCACTTCCTTGTCTAATGAAAAAAAAAAGAGGACATTACCATTATGCTTTCTTTACATTACATTTTCTAATTAAATATCTCTAGGATAGAGTAACTTCACATTAGCTTGATATGAAAACAGCTAGGGGAAAGCTATATTCTCATTTCATTCTAAAGTATAAAACGTGTTATGTGTTTGTGATGTGTCAAGCCACACAGGTGCACTTACTACGTTTTTAAAACAACAAGGGAGACGTTGGACTAAAATGACAACAAAGGTTGTAGTGGGTATCTGCTTCTAAATGATGCCCTGACAAGGCAGCATCAGTTAGCATTGGCTGGCTAGTTAGCCGCAAGGGGTGCTAGCTCACAGCAGCTAGCATTCATGCCTTATCACAGTGCCACTTGCCCGATATTTGTACGTAAAACAATCAATGAAAACATGTGGTGAGTTGCAAACACTTCAAATTAGGACGGTAGTTTTTGCTGCCCGTTGAAATTAAATGTCAGGTAGCTTGCATTAGTAACCGTAGTGACAGCCAGCCAGCTAACCTGACGCCTTGTTTGACGTTAGCTGTCGGCTAGCTAGCACGACTAGCTAAGCCTCGGCGATGCAGCATCAAAAGCACGGTGACATTTCGCTCACCTAACAGTGACCGCAGGTGTTTCAGCCGGGTCAGTACATCCTTCTTTGGGTCCAGAACTTTCTGTGTAGATTTCTTGACGTCTCCATGCCCCCTTCGAGTGAACATTCCGCTGTAAAATGCAACCGTGAAGGCTGAAATCACCTGTGCTTCACCATACACCGAGCCTCCAGTGTGACTGTCACTTTCCTCACCACCACTCTATGCCTGCTCGGTAAACATTCGTCCGACGGCCGCTAGTGTCCTGTTTTCTGTGGGTGTGTAAACACGGAAGAGCAGCCTGACAGGGAGGAGTGGTCACATTATATGAATACGCCTCCTTGTTTATACCCGTTGCACCTTGCACTAAGAGGGGGGCTTGTTTTTGTGAATTTTAATAAGTAATTTCACCTTTCAATTTAGGCTATATAGTTTTGGTTTATGCTCAAGCTGTTGCATTGTGAAGATGTGGGGTTCGTTTGATAGAGTGCCACACTATTGCCTCTTAAAAAAAAGAGAAACAAAAGTTTGAGTGCACTGTCATGCAGTTAACTTTAGGTTGAAGACTGGCGCCCATCTTTAGTCTTAAACGGGGACTTATCGATTCCAATTACTTCCTACAATAGAGGTTTAATAAGAGGAGGTTGGGGTCTAGTAGTAAATATAGATCCCAAGCGCCCCCTGGTGTTTGACATAGTAAAACACAAATCACAGGGAACAACAGTATTTAAATGAATGGAAAGGAGACTTGCAAATATTACTTTTAATGGAAATTGCCTTGCCCACGTATTTTGGATTAGATGTTTATTTTATGTTAGGGATAACTCTGCAAATAAAGATAATTTTCATTATTGATTAACGTGCAGATTAACTTTTGATATACATATCAGGAAAAAACATTACAATGCCTTTTAGAAATTCCTAAACCCAAAGAGCCAAACTGCTTATACTATATATATATATATATATATATATATATATATATATATATATATATATATATATATATATATATATATATATATATATATATATATATAAAATAAAGGCTGTAGTTTGTTGACTGGATTTTATTTGTATTGCTTATTTTGTTATATGGATTTTTCGTTTTTGAGAATCTGTTTCCATTTTACAAGTTGCAGGCCTTGAAAAGCGCAACAATTTTTTACTTACTTTAGACGCATGCAAATGTTTTAATTTTAGGAGCTGGAACCAGGCTTTTTTTATAGCATTTTTTTTAAATCTTAGTAATAGTAATAATGAGTTACATTTCTGTAAATGCCCTAATGCATTAATCATTTATACTCTAGTCTTCAGTTTCTCCAAGAGCTACAATAAAAAGTACTGTGCTGACATTTGGACTTGTCATAGCAGGGCAAGCACAGATTTAATTCTAAACATTAATGATGGCTGCATTCCATTTATTTCAGTTCTAGAGCTCTGGTGCAAGTTGCTACATGTTAGCTCTAAATGGAACAGTCACCATTACTGTTATTGATTCCCAGTGGCAGAATGGGAACTAATTTCCCTTAGTACTGCACTTAGGTACAAATTGAACATACTTGTACTTTGCTTCAGTATTCTTCTCTTGTTCCTGCTCCTACTCTCCTTTACTTCTACTCTTCTTTTTAGGGTTAAATATTATACTTTGTATTTCACCTTTATTTGACAGGACTTTTTAATAATGGAGGAAAAACTTAGCTAATGAATTGATATTGAACATAGTTATAAGAAGTAGTCCTATACAAAATAGTGTAGGAATTACAAATATTTAAAACATGTTTTATTTTAGAGCCATCACAATATTAAAATTGCTTTTGTGTTGATGCACTTCTATAACTTTCTGCTTTAAGTACTGTTTCTTTACATGATGGAAGGTTTTCCTGGTTATTCTTAGCTACTTACTATTACTTGTGTAACATTTTAATGCAATAATTTAACTTAAAGTGTGGTATTAGTGTGGTATCAAAACGTTAAATGAAGTAAAGGATGTGAATACTCTCTCCACCAGTGTTGTGTATAACTAGGTATAATGTGTCTGCAGGATTACATTGTATTAATAGTAGGTGTTCTATCTGATACAATATTCTGCAGTATGAGGGTACAACTCACTTAGGTCATGCTGTTTTTCATGCTGTATAAATGCACATCAATGTCTATGTATTAACTACATCATACTGTATTTAACTCCAGCTCACAACCCATTTCAACTTATAGTCAAAGCCTTTATTAAAAATACTGAGTGTCTGGAACTATTATCCAAAGCTAAAAGCACCAATTGTTACAATGCACTTACGAATGAACAAGGAACCTAACTTCCAGATGAAAGAACCCTGTAGTTTTTGATATCACCACTCCACTCCACTATGGTGACACTTACAAAGAGAAAAAAGGTAGAACAGCTTCACTGCTCACTCAAGCCGTTGCCACTTGACACTTAAAACTGGAGGTTTTGATGAATAAGAATACAAGCTCTGCTTTTACATATCAGAGCTCTCCTGCAGTTATAGTAAACTCGGGGTTATGGTAAATTGAACAGAGTTCAGTGTGCTCATGATTTTAATGGATTTTCAAATTAATTTGTTTTACATGGTTGTGCAGACAGCAAATTCCATCTTGGGAATGGAAAAAGGCATTTATGTTCTGAGATGAATCTTACATTTGAAGAAATTGGATGCATCCGTTAATCAACCCCAAACAAGCTGACATTTGGTGCAATCTCACACTTTCGCTTGTCTGAACCTATCTGTCTTATTTTAGAGGCAATTAATTTTGAGGCTTAGCTGGGGAAAATCATTTCATTTACACATTATACACACACCCCATTAAAGACAGAGCTTAGACTGTAGAGTTGAACTTTGTGACTGAGAAATCATTTTAGACTTAAACTAATGCAGAGAAATAAACATATCTTCATAACTGTTCCCCCTATCAAATATCACATTATGAAATCCTGCTGTTTTTTAAGACTTCTTATTATAAGATAATGTCTTTACATATATAGGAATAGCTACATTTTGTATGTATTGTACTCACAAAAACCTCAAATGAGACTCAACATGAGATTCTGGAATGTCCAAATTGACCAGGAGGTGGCGCCTAAAACATTGGTAATATGAGGCAAATAAACATACCATTAAAAGCTTCACATATCATTGAGGGTCTGAATATTTTTACCAATAAACAATGCATGTGCAGGCCTGGAAAAATAGGGTTCTCGTCAAAATTTTTTATGAAAGTTAATTAAAATGGCAACAAAGAGAAACTATAATCAAGAAACATTTAAGAAGGATAATAAAGAATTAGGTTTTGTTTGAATAACTCAACTGTTAAAGTAAAATAAAAGCAACAATGTCAGTGTTGACGAGTCGACTGTGAAGATTGTTATGCCCTCAACAAAGAAACCAGACTGTATTTTATTTCATTTACCACCCCCACATATTGAGACACTGACAATGTTGTGAGAGGTATTGTCTCTTTCTTTTTCAAGGTTCTGCACAATGGATGTCTTGAATGATAGGAGAGCGAACAGAGGGTAGTGAGAGCGGAGGCCAAAGAGGTGGAGTAAAAAGAGAAGTTAAAATCAGCCTTTGCCCTGCAGTTTGGTATGACACTCATTATCTGAAGTGGGCCATTCTGAGAAAGGAGGAGGTTGCCTGTCACAACAGATGTTGATTACACAAAACAGGGTAGTTTGGAAGGATGCGTGAATAAAACACAAGCCCACACACATACACAGACACAGGGTTATTGTTGGTGCTTTGTCACGAGTCTTAATTGATTGTAATCACCATTCCTTCTTGGCAAAGCTCCCCTGTTCTTGAAGTGCAGGTTATTGCTCATTATCTAAAATGGCATGGACCTACGATAATCTATCAACAATAACAATGGAAGTGCATTTTTGTTCTCCTCTCTCTAATCCTGCACCTGGAAGTATTTTCAGGGTTCAGCCCATTTCTGAAATAATACACCATAGGCTGCGACAATTCAACTTTATAGCTCACCGTAGAGGCCATACGGTGCTTTCTCAAAGATACTTCACTGCCCAATAAGACAATTACGGTGCCAACTGTGACATTATTTCTGAATGAGATCATTTAATTCAAAATGGGATTTCCAGTGTATTAACCAGCATAATTCATTCTTTTTTTTCATGCAGGCCTAGAATTGCCAATTTCCAGGGCCTGGCAGAGAAGAGAAGCCCTCATCATGACCAAATGGTGGCACTGCAGCCTCACAAATGCAGATCCTCCTTCTCATGGCCAGGCTGTCGGACTGATTCCAATCCAAGGTTTGAAAAGCACTTGTCTGCTCTAAATTGTTCTTATAAAGAGCTTGGAAATACTTGACTTTTCTCCTTATGTGGTTATGGATTTCCTTTTTGTACAATTAAGTGCCATTAAAAGCTAATGTATCCTGTTAAACCACATTAAGGTGTTGGGGTGGACAGTGGCACAGTTCCGAATATTGTGAATAGGAGCCCCACTCTCTGAGCATTTTCTTTTTTTTAAAATCTATATTGGACCATTCAGAAACTTCAGGATGAAAAGGATCAAAAGGGGAAATGTCCACAGGGCTGCTGATTCTCCTGGCTGTGAGACCACCCACAGCTGCTTGACATAGATGAGCTACAAAGCAATGAAACCATGAAACAAAACCAATCTGTGTTTGACTCAACCGGGAACACGGGCGTTTAGTATCTAACACGGAAGCTATATTTTTATGTTCACAATATTTGTATGAGTAGAATAAAAATTATAAATATATATTGCTCAAATTACATCAATTAACGCCATTAATTAAATATATTTTGCCCCATTGTAATGTTACAGTAAATACATTTTAATTTAGAAAAATGTATCCTATTTATTAAAAGCTTTTTCTACAAATAACACAAACAAGAAGCTGCCATTTATATGTAAGCTCCCACCAGGGGTCGTCATGGTGCCCTTCGCCACCAAGGTTATCTAACCTTATCTAACAAGTTCAAAGCACTATATTCATTATTTTGGAGCCTAGAAATGTGCACGCCTTTCTAAACAGCAAAGTGAGGAAAAATCTTGTGTTCTTGTATGAAATTCTCGCCTTTTATTTTTTCAAACGCTACAATTATGAAGCTCTGTATATGGATACAAGTGATTTCTGAATCTAGTGTTTGTAATGCACACTGTAGTTTGGAGCACATCTCCATGGAGGTTAATGAGGGGGCACTCTGAAGTAATTAAAACAAGAGCATTATAAGGCAGCAGTTTCACATAAGGCACTCATA